CATGTCATGCGAGACAGACATTGGCCCGCAGTAGTGAACCTCGTGCTGTTGGAAAGGGCCCGGACAAGACGGTCATCATGGGAAGAGGCGTCATCCTCCGTGGGGGACTGAGGGTCGGTTCCCTGATCTGGGTCACTTGCAGAATCATCTGACGCAGTGCCACCATCAATGCTCAACGGGTCACGAAGCAGCGCATGCAAGCGACGAGAGAGGAATCATCCAGAGCCTCTACGAGGGCCACGACGGTATGTGGAGGACTGTCGAGGCTGAGAGGGGCGAGAGGCTGCAGTAGTAGCAGAGTGGGCAGCGGCGGGCTGAGGCGAGGGGCCAACTAGTGGGGCATAAGTGAGATGAATGACCCGGGCTATGTTGAAAGCCTCTGGTAAGGTGGAGATGGAATACGCCATCATCTGCAACTGGAATGACAGAGGTAGACCTGTGCGGAATCGCTGGATCATGGTGTCCTCGGGAATGGCTGTGACCGGAATCTGAGCGCGTACACAGTGAAATGGCGTGATGTATGACTCTAAGGCATTGTCGCCACCAAGCCATCTGATCTCAGCCACACGAGTAATCGGGTCGCGGGTGGGCGCAGGGCGAGAAAAGTACTGCTGAAGAAAGTCGTGAAACTCGGGATAAGACATGCCCTCATGTACGCCTCGCTGTGAACGAAGGGCGAGGAAGTCGCGCCAGGTGGAGGCTGCACGACCTGTAAAGCGAGAGGACATCTCAACGGGCCACAGTTCCATGGCGACACCATGGTAGCGAAGCTGCTCCTCGGCAGTAGTGATCCATCCCTGGAGCTCGGAGGCCTTGCCGTCAAACTGTGGGAGGTGGTCCCGTCGAAACTGTGGAACGTACGTCGGGGGCCGGTAATGGGTAGGGAGAGGAAGGGCCGATTGTGACAAGAGGACAGAAGAAGTAGTGGCACCAGCAGGACCACTAGAAAGAGCGGGGAGCTAGGGCAAAGGTCCCTAACACATCGTGGTGGCTGGTGGTGGGAGCGTGAAATGCATCGCAGCGGCCTGTGTCTGATGCTGTCGATAGATGAAAGGGACGACAGGCTGTACCGCGAGGTGGGGAGGTAGGGGTTGACCTCCTTGGAGTAGGCGGATGTGATCATGGGCCAGGGTGAGCTCGCGTTGGAGTTCGGCATTCTGTGTCCTGGTGTAAGGAGGGGGTAGGGGGGGTGGGAAGAAGCGAGGGGTGATGAGGGAGGTGCCGTGGAGACTAACGTCGAGGAGGTGGCGGGACAAGATGCCATGGGTCCTGAGGAGGGAGGTGCAGGGGTAGATACCTGAGAGGCAGAGATGGCTGCAGAGGAAGGGTGGGGATAGGATGAGGACATGCAGCCAGTGGAAGAGACAAGTGTGTAGATGACGCCAGTCGAACAAGGAGAGGAAGCTGGCATAGATGCAGATGAGGGGGGTGTGGGGGGGGATGTACTGGTAGGGGCTCCAACTATCACACGCGGGCCGACAGGGATGAGAAGTCGGTATGGAGGGCCGTGATTTTGGCCTCGAGTGTGGCCTGCATGTGGTGGAGGAGGTCCACTATGGGATCCGACTGGGAAGCTAGGCCCGAACTGGTTGCCATAGGGGTGACCATTGAGTCGGATGTAGGCTCGTGAGCTAGGAACGCAAGTCCTTCGCTGGTGGAGCGGGAGGGGCTCGCAAATTCGGTAGTCTGCATGGGGTCAAGGGATGGAGAAGGTGAGGAGGGAGAACTGGGGCGGGGGGGCGCTCAGTGGCAGCAGTCGGTGCGTCACAGTGAGCGAGTCGGTTTGCGGCACGAGCGATTTTCGAGTGCGCGCTGATGGGTGTCACGGGGAGCGAGGTTGGTACGCAGAAAGAGGAGTAAGGGACTGCGAGAGGAAAGCGAGTATAAACGAGGTCTGATGAACTTCCAAAATTAAATCAATCGAATTCAAAATCAGAGTGAGGGAAAAAGATGACGATTTCCAATTCAGGGAAGAAAATGAGAGGAAATTTTCAAAGAATAGTGTGGGGTCTAGACGAGAGCATGCATAAGACAATCACGAATTCAAAATAAAATTTCGAAAATATTTGGACGTAATTTTGAAATTTAGAAGAAATTGAAGTACAATTCAAGGAATTTCAAAAACATTCGTAAAAATTTACGAAAGTTCGAGGAGATATTAAGATGTAGAGATGAGTTGATAGGAAAATTTTTGCAATAAAATGGAAAATTCCTCAATGTATTTTCAGAATTAATTTTTTTTTAAAGGAAATTTAAAATAAAAGTAGAAAACTAATTCCTAAATTAAGAATTTACGATGAAATTTCATGAAGAGTTAGTGAAAGCCAAGTACAATAAGTTGGGAGAAATTCCAGAATTATCTAGGTCAGATCAGAACATTTTCTCCACGTGTTACAAGATTGAGGTGAATTTCACAAAAAAATCAAAAAAAAATCCACGGCATTTCAAAGGAATTGCAGAATTTCGTAATGTTACGGGTGAGGAGACAACAAAATTGATTTGACTTCAGAAGAATTAAATTTAGTAAATTCTGGGATTTATTTCACGAATTTCTGAAAAGGAATTGAATTTTGGAGTTAAATAACAAAAAGAATCTGATAAAATAAAGAAATTTACATAACTTTTGAATAAAAGTGCCAGAATTAATTTTGTTCACGGCGTTGGTGGAAAAGAAGATAAAGATTAATCCTATCAAATTAAATTGAAATTATGAACGGCTGAATGGACAGCATTGTCAGAGAAGCACAAAGAAGGAAGATACGTGTCACATGTAGTAGAAATTTTGGATGATGCGACCAATTGGGTGGGAGGGTGGAGAAGAGAAGGGGGGTTGGAGAGGAGATAGAAGAAGAGGAAAAAGATGGAATCTTTGAGAGAGATCGACGAGAGGAAGGGAGGGAATTAGTAAGAGGTAGAGATTGACAATACCGCGCTCCCGGTCAGCCGGGTGCAATAGATGTCCTTCCTCCTAGTCGAGGAAGGTCTTGAACATACCCCTAAAGGGTCTTCACGATCGTTCCCCCGGTGGAACGACGAGGTCGCCGGATGGAAACGCGCAATGAGGGTGAGAAGCCGTGGCGATGGCGATGTTGACAATAGCGGCGATGATGATGATGATGGTGGCCCTTGCTGAGTGGGCCAGCCTCTCACAGTTTGTATTCATACTGGAAATCAAAATGAAATGAGCGTTTGTCCTTTCGCTCCTCACGAGACTTTCGTTTTCGATGAGCTCATGAGAGGACACCTGCGTTATCTTCGAACAGATGTGCCGCGGCCGCCAGTAGTCTCAATGTGCAGGTGCGCTCAGAGGGAGGTAGATAGGGTGAAGATCGCGCGCACATGTGCACGGTGAAATTTGGAATCGGGTACTGGTTTGGATCGGGGTTGGGGCGGGGCCAAGATAGGGTCGGGGGGGGAAATCGGGAGAGGTGGTGGTCGGAATATGGGAGGCGGGGGATATCAGGGTCGGGATTGGGAGGGGGGGCGGTGGGGCGCAGGTCGGGGTCGAGATTAAAGAAGGGAGGGAGAAGGAGAACGGTCGGGGGCGGAGCGGGGGAGAGGGAGGTGACGTGGGAGGGCGGGTCAGGATTACAGCGAAACGCAGCGGGTGGGGGGACGACGTTGGGATCGRGAGTGGGGGGAAAGTCGGAGTCSGGTGGGRGGAAGGAAAACAGCGGGTTKGGGTCGGGGCGCAGTAGCRGGGGGACGTGGGGAAGCARGGGGGGAGCTGGGRCGGAGCTGGGGACAGGAGYGGGGGAGGGCGGCGTCGGGGCAGAGTAGAGCGGAGTGGAGGGGGGGGGGAGAATGGAGCGAGGGGGGGGGGKTGGGGCGACTGCGAACACGTGCACTCGGGAGGGAGTCGGGACGCAGTGGGTCGGAGTCGGGGTAGGAGGTGGGGGGTGAATGGTATCGGATCCCGAGGAGAGGCCCAGTTTGAAAGAAGGTGATTGGGTAAGGACCCCAGAGAGTCCACACCGTCTTGGTCTTATCTACATGGTCTCCCCCCAAATGGTTCTGATTGAACACCACATCATCACAGACACAAATATGCTCCAGGCAAGTGACATACCCCTGACATGGATAAATAGGGCAACGATTAACCGTGTGAGAGTCATAGAAGAAAAGGGGCAGAGGGTGGCCTTCCAGCCAGATAAACCAATCCAGGATTTGGCCTTGGATCCGGCGGAATGGATGTGGCAGGTTCCTGGGAAGAGGGGGGTGCCTGAAGCAAGACATATGGGTTTGCACTCATTAACGGTCAAGTCCGCATATAAAATGCTCCGACCCAATCGCTACCTAAGAGATGTAATAAACGAACGATGGGCCAGACACCTGAATATTGACCGCTCTCTGTTGACTCCAATCCACTGGTTCAAAGAACAAAAGCACAAGCCAATGAAAATTACCTCACTCCAGTGGCAGATAACTCACCGCTGCCTGCCAACAAACGACTAGCTAATCAATCGAACAAATCTCGAACAGAAAGGCCTGCTTCTTCCGTGGTGTCAGCGATGCCAGAATCTTTTTCCCTTCCACAAAAAGGCTGAGACCATTGAGCACATTTTTATGCAGTGTCCGATTGCCCAATTCATATGGA